CCAGTGTCTTTCAATACTTTCAAATTTACCGCGCGCTCTGCTCTGATGGCGCGCGCATGCGCGACTGGACTGCTATATGCGGCGCGAAAGCTCCATACGTGTTTTAATTTGATATTATTTAAAAGTGGATTAATATTATAATCCACCCGACTACTGTAGGGTTAACTTTTTTGACCGTTAAGTCCGTTTATAACGGTTTTTCCAAAATTGATGTGAAATGTGATTGCGGATCAATATTAATGATTTTTTTATTACTCATTGAAGAAGTATCAAAATTTAATTAATTAATTTAATCACTCAACTAAAGAAAATATTATTGAGTAGCCTTACCTAGTATGATACCTATTATAATAAAAGTGTAAATGAACAATTTCTATCCTTAGATAAAATAAATTCAATAAAACAGACTATCAATATGTCTATATTAAGAATTCCTTTAATTATGTATTATTTAAAATATATTCAATTATTTTATTTGTTAACTAAATGATGCTTGCTACTTCGTCCACGTGTATTAAGGTTTATTAATTCCCGCGGATTGTTTTTTAATTTTTAGGGATATAATGTAGGTTATGTGTTAATTCAGGGTATCCAAACCGGTTCAGTCGTTGTGGTGTGAAGGAGTAACAAACAAAACTACTGAATCTGTTTTAATGCAACTAGGCATATTTGTTGCTTATATACTGGGTTCAGCATTAGGGTAAGTTTTATCCCGAAAAACTATAGTACAGACACAATTTGGCATTTATAATATTAATATTAGTATGGATTATCATAATTGTTTTAATTCTACAGATTTCCAAAAGATCCTCACTTAAAAATGAGATGGGCACAATTGTGCAATCGAAAAAGGGTTTGGGAACCTACCCGCACAAGTACTATCTGTTCGATGGACTTTGATTCATCCCAATTTCAACGTTTGCCTAGTAAACTTCGCAAATTAGTCTGTGATGTTTAACCAACATTACTATTAACAGATTCTGTAAGTTTTATTCATGTTATGTTATGTAATTGTAAAATTTGGGATTGTTTTTTGAGGCGACCCACTTCCATCAATTTTTTTTTAGTACTTAGAGCCGTTTTCATTTCTGGTGTCCATGTATAACCATGCAAAATTAGACCTCTTTAGAGTACCAATAATCTCTACGCTAAGCCGCGGAAGGACGGACAGACGGACGGACTTGGTGAAACTATAAGAGTACCTTGTTGTTTTACTACGGAACCCTAAAAAGACTTGTTGCACTGACCAAATTAAAGAGTTCAGATGTTTCAATTGTTCCAGTGCATTTTGCTTATGCTTGTTTTTTTTTTCGCTCAGGGAAACTATCGATATAAAATATCGATATGGTAGCATTGCAATTAATTCGTCTGTCTTACACTCACACTCATCCCTTTTTCTATGTTGATGTATTTAAGCTATAAGGGTGCTTTAAATGTAACAGTGTTGGAAATTTAGATTTGTGAGTGCCATAATGACACAAAATTTTATTGAGTAGGTGTGCAGTACTGTTTATGTATTGTTTCGCCGCCCCGTACCAACACCAAAAGTGACAGACTATATAATTCGTAGCATTAGGCGCATCCTCATTACTTATTACCTTTGGTTGAATTGAATGGTGTAAGGTCTCTGTAAACTTTGAATGAAAACGTTAAATTACATTTAATTTTAATTGTGTCGTGAATGTGATGTGTACAGTGCACACTTTACAGAAAGAAACAGGCTTGTTGTTTGTAAGGAAAATACCATTGTTTCCGTACATGTTGCATTGGACAGGTAAGTTTATTTTTATTTTTATAGGATGGGGTGGCAAGCGAGCATACAGTCCACGTGAAGGTGAGTGGTTGCTGTGACGCAATGACATCTACATCTATTAAGTCAATAAAGAATCAAAATGCAGATGAGTTGTTACCCGTAAGGACTAAGATGGAATGCCTCTTTACCTCTTTTCCAGTAAAATGGGTCTCCGGTTCTCTACACTCACCATACGAAACAGCAGCGTTCATCTGCTATTTTACGCTGGTGTTCTGTGAGAGCGTGGTCGTACCCGGTCGAGCCGAACCATTCGTGATAACAACTAAACTATTACTTTAATTTAATTTAATGTCCTCCAGACCGAATTTCGATCACGGCGGCCTGCCTCAACGGAGACTAGCCATCGGTGCCGGACAGGATTATAGTGCCCATGTGTATGCGAAAGCACTGGTGCACTCTCTATTTCCTCACCCTCATAGTCCGATGGGACAGTAAACCGACACGACCGGAGAGATCAGGCGCAGGACCAACGGCTTTGCGTGCTTTTCGAGGCACGGGGGTGAGACACCGCTAACTTCCTGACTTCGGGCAGCTAATAAGAATTTCTTGACGGAAAAACTCAATAATTGATTTCATTTGCCCGACCCGAGATTCGAACCCGGGAGCTCATGATCAGCAGTCGCACTACACAACCATTAGACCAATGAGGCAGTGGATTTTATGGGTTTAAATGTAGTAGTACTATTACTACTAATATAGCTGCAACATGGCTTAACACCTATAAAAAGTAAACTATGTAAAGTAATAAATTAGGTTTTTAGGTTAACTCATTTTTTCTCATGTGACCAAAGTTAGTTTAATACTCTAAGCCAAAAGTATAATTTTATAATTTACTGAATGATAGAATAAATAGAAGGTACTTTGTTATTAGTAAGATACTTTACAAAACAAACATCTATATTTTATTTTCTTTTAAAAAAACGTAACCTCCACACTAGAATCTCCTCCTGTATCGTGGGGGCAGTTTACAAACATAAATTTCACAAGGACAAACATCCAGACCCGAATCAATTATTTATAAGTCATACAAATACTTATTCCGTGCAGGATTCGAACCCGCGGTCTTTAGCGCTGCAACTCAATTGCTAAGCCACTGCGCCACAAAGCCGTCATAAAATTGTTTATAGTACAACCACATTAGCAAAAAATTGTTAATGGAATTATTAAGCATCTACTTATCAATCAATCAATCATCACTAAACAATCTAATTTAATATAATATGTATTACTTGTGAGATACATTGTTTTTCATGCGATGGCCAAGTCAATCTATTTATTTAAAACATAAAATATTTTTAATATTGATATGGTCACTATAAGATGTTGTTAGGTTAGCTAATTACGTAATAACTTAAGATAGAAGGACCCTTAAGTAGGGACTGAATAAATTAACCGACTTGCTACATGGATCTCACAACTTTTTACGGTCGAAGAACTGAGTTGCGAGACTTGGTTTTTTTAGATACCTAGTCCTACTTTTTTTTTTCGGTACCATCTACTTCTTGAATACCAAATACGGATTTTTGGGCAATTACTTAATACTTTGCGGGATTTTGGTACAACTTCATAAGACATGTCCAATTCTTGCTTTTTCATTCCATTGACCATTTTAAAGAGTTCCCTTTGAACATAATTATATGTAGGTACCTATCTAAATCTATTATTCCATTATATTATACACTAGCTGTTCCCCGCGACTTCGCCCGTGTTTAATTTAGGGTTTTAATTTTGTTGCGCGGAACCCTTAATATTTTTCTAAAATATAAGTAGCCTAAGTTACTCCTTATAACATGAGCTATCTACCAGTGAAAGTCTCGTCAAAATCGGTCCAGCCGTTTTGGAGATTAGCCGAAACAAACAGACAGACAGACAAAAATGTTAAAAATTGTGTTTTTGTTATAAGTACCGTATATACTTTCATATGCAATTAGTAAAAAGCTGTTATTTTGACATTACAAACAGACACTTAAATTTTATTCATTTGTATAGATATACAGGTACGTAATAATACTTAAAAGTCAATTTTAAGAACTTTTAAACCATATCATAAAGTTTAAGTGTTATATTATATATATTTGTCCGTATTTATACCATGGAAACTTAATTTAGAATAAGTAAAATTAAATGAAATATAATAAGTAGGTATCATAATAAGAAATCAGAAGTTGTAATTTTCATTGTGATTTTTAGTGACAATTAAAAGAATTTTAAGTGTTTTATAATTTTTATTTTTTGAATTGACGGGTTGAATTAACCGGTTAATTTTTCAGGTTGATTACACTATACAATGGCACCTTCCAAGAAGAGTAGTGTATGGAAGTTTTACGATAAAGTTGATGGAGAGAGTAACTATGCGAAATGCAGACTTTGTCAAAAGCTATAAAATCTTGTGACAATACAACCAACTTAATTGGTCATATAAAAATGTACACAAGGCAGCTTTTTGTGAGTTAAATATGAAAATTCGAAAAAATCTATCATCGCCAGCAATACAATAAATACACTTACAAAATGTGTTCCTTACGCTACTGATATGCTACCGTCAACAAGCTCGGCTGATTTGCTGCCATCAACAAGCTCTTATGATGTAATAGGATTAACTACAGAAGCTGTTAAAAAATTTGACGCTTAGAAAGAAGATGAATATGTTCCTGTTCCCCCTGCTCCAAAACGTCAAAAGTCTATTATATCAAGTTTTGAAGAAATTTATGCTTATTCGGCGAATGGTGATAAAACTTTAAGGATAAATAATGCCATAATTTACATGATATGTAAAGACAACCAACCATTTACAATTGTTGAAAATGAAGGCTTTCGCAATTTGATTAAAGTTATTGCGCCGCATTATAAACTTCCCAATAAGACGACGTTAACTCGATGGGTTGATGATAAATACGCAGCATTATCTACGGTCTTCAAAAAAAAGTTGTCAACTATTGAAAACCTTACTCTTACTACTGACATGTGGTCTGAAATAATGAGCATGAGAAGTTTTTTAGGAATAACAGCACACTTCGGTGTCGGTAATGATCTATTTTCAATTACTCTTGGAGTGTACCAGTCACGTGTACCAGTCAAATGAACGTCATACTTCAGAACACATCGCTCAAATGCTGCTAGACACTTGTACTGAATGGGGTGTTGCGAAAATTAAGTTTCGGCTGTAGTGACAGACAACGCAGCCAACATGGTAAAGGCCGTCGATATAGCTTTTGGAAAAAAACACATACCATGTTTCGCACACACTTTGAATTTGGTAGTACAAAATTCAATGCAGCAGTGTACAGAGCTGCGAAACTTAATAAATAAAGTCAAAGATATTGTGACATGGTTCAAACAAAGTAATATGGCCAGTAACAAATTACGTAAAGCAACCCAGAAAGAAACTTAATTGATTCAAGAGGTCCCGACCAGATGGAATAGTACATACTATATGATCGAGAGGCTTTTGGAACTTCGCACTGTCGTTAATAACATAATCATTCGTCATAAAAATGCACTACCTATACTTACTGCATCCGAACTATCAATTCTTTCTTCGGTTTTACAAGTTCTACGACCGATCGAAGCTGCAACCAAGGAAGTATCAGGTGACAAGTACTGCACTAGCAGCAAGGTAATACCACTTATCCATTGTCTTCTTTTGAAAGTCAAACCTCTTAAACTCGAAGATCTTGCCAAAGAATTGCAATCTCTGGTCCTTAAAGAGATCGACAGGAGAATGGGTGTTATAGAGAGAGTGCATCCCCTCGCTATAGCGACGATATTGGATCCGAGGTTCAAGAAAATGCATTTTACGGAACCACTAGCTTGTTCTGCGGCTGTAGCAAAAATCAAAGAATTAGTAAAAACAACAATACAACATGAGGCTGTGGAATCTGATTCTTCAGGTCATTCTGACAAACCAGAAGATAACTTCTCCTTCTGGGATGATCACCATAAATTAGTCCACAAGAGCTGGAAAACGGCAAAGTCTGACGATGCTATTTCTGATGAGCTATCAATATACTTGTGTAGTCCAGTAGGAAGACTTAATGAGAACCCATTGGAAATTTGGAATGATCATAAAATTCAGCTTCCTAAACTTCATACAATTGCTTACAAATACTTGACAATGGTGGGAACTTCCATACCATCTGAACGTTTATTTTCTAAAGCGGCACAAATCGTCAATCAGCAACGAAATAGACTGAAGGGGAAACGTTTGGATAAACTGTTGTTTTTGCAAAGTCTTCCAAAAGAACACTGGACATAGGACTTTAATTCAAAGATTCAAGACTTTTATTTGCATCAGACAAGGTAAATACAGGTCTTAATTACATACATTTTAGACCAAACATGTTTCACCGCTTATATAAAGGCATACAATTTAAAAATTAAAATTTGTATATAATTACTCCTTAGATAATTATTAATAATTATTAAATAGGATAAAAAATTTAAATAATTGTTAATTATTATTAAATTAAATAAAACTGTCCATGATAAGTGAAATCATAGTAGTTAATTTGTTAAATTTACAATCTAGAAATTATTTATGAATATCGGAATTTTTATAATTGCAACTGATTTTTATTGTTTGCACTTTTTGTAATAATAACAAAAGATGTTACGCATTGTCTTTACTTTTAAAATGAAATTAAACAGTTGAATAAAAATGCACCACCTATGCTTACCGCACCAGGGCTATCAATTCTTTCTTCGGCTTTACAAGTTCTGCGACCGATTGAAGCTGCAACCAAGGAAGTGTCAGACGACAAGTACTGCACTAGCAGTAAGGTACTTAAGACACTTATCCATTGTCTTCTTTTGAAAGTTAAACCTCTTAGAAATTAATATTATAGATAATAGAAAACCTAATAGACATTCTTTATGAATATCGGAACTTTTATAATTGCAGCTAATTTTTATTGTTTGTACTTTTTGTAATAATAACAAAAGATGTTACGCATTGTCTTTATTTTTAAAATGAAATTAAACAGTTGAATCAACAAAGGCTTTTTCTTTGTAACATAGATTCCTTGAATATTTTAGGTATTTTGCAATCCTCCTTTTATTTGTATTGTAAGTCTTCTCTACCTAAAGATTGCCTTAAAGAGATCGCGTACAGTGATAAGGCCGTCAAAACTGTAAACTTCAATTGTGTTGATTAGTTGTCAAGATACTTTGTGTTTCGTGCAATAAAGAATATCTATCTATCTAACATCCTTGAATATCTATCTAACACACAAACACTCACAAAAGGCGTGCGAACAAAGAAAAAAAAAGTAGTAGTTCATTCAAAATTGTTGTTTGTTTGAATGGGGCGTCAGAAGTTAGAAGATTGACTACAGATTTGTAATGTAAATGTAAAGTCAGAAAAAGTACTCGATGTTGAAAAAACATCGATGTTTCTAACTGATGCATCGAAATACATCGATGCACAGTCTCGATGCATTGCATCGAAAAAAAACATCGATGTATTTTCAAAGTGGACACCCATAGAGACGATATTTATTTCATTGTCTTTACAAAACAAACAAGTATAAACTTTTTTGCTATTAACTAATTTTGCTGCCAAAAATTAATTCAATGTATTTTTTTTAAACTGGCTTTACGGCTCTGGGTTCTAGCCCTTCTGAGCCTGAAGTTACAATGTATTAACTTTACGATACATTCATCAAAAATTCACTTTCACATTGATTCACAGTTTGTTTACGTTTGCACTATTGTTTAATAACACGTTTTTCTCATTTTTATATATCTTGGACACCAGATATAAAGGAATATAATGGTCGGAAGAATTTTTCATCAGCTAATAAACTTTGAAGAGCATCAGGAACTTTATCATTGTTAATATCTTGAATGGAATTAATGAGGAGTAATCTATTCAAACCAAACTGACTGCATTGAAAAACCAGATGTTTTAGGTCTCCTTTCGTGTCTCCACAATATTCACAATTTGCATTTTCTTTCATTCCCAAACGATGCAGGTGGACGGCTACTCTGCTATGTCCAAATCTCATTCGGTTTACAGTCGTAATGAATTTTCTATTACGAGTATTAATCCCTTTTTTGTTGTACCAAGGAGTGTCTGGCGGGCTTTTTTGTATATCATAATACCAAATTCCTTTGGACTTGCTTATTTCTTCCCAGTATGCCTTGCATAAGGATCTCAAGTTCTTGCTTAACAAGGCATATATATCTGTAAATGGTATTTCCAGCATTGTCGAGTGGTCTGAACATGTTGATGAAAATATGTCTCTAGTAGTAATGTCTGCTTCCTCGTTCCCAGTTATCCTAGAGTGTGAAGGGACCCGCATAAAGGTAACAGTCTTCTTTATTTTACTAAGATTGGTTAGTAAGTTTCTTATATTATATATAATGTAATTTTTTTTGTAATCCATTTTGTTAGATTCAATAGCTGTTATAACACTTTTTGAATCAGTTACAATTAGAAACTGTGAATTCACAATATTTTTTATGTACAATAAAGTTAAGTATATTGCATAACATTCAGCTGTAAAAATAGAGCATAAATTGTGAATTTTAAAAGTTTTAGATATTTTCTTTTGTGAATCATAAAATGCTAAAGTTGTGTACTCTTCAGATTTTGATCCATCTGTATATATTGTATGAAAATCATTATCAGCTAGATATCTTAACATTTCCATTTGAGAACTTTTTCTTGACATACAGAAACATTAATGTTCAGTAATGCATCATATTCTATTTTATATAAAAGCCATACCTTGATACACATTTTTGGTTTGGGTCTGTGAGTATAAAACAATCCTTAGGATGTCTGGTAATTGACCAGATAAAAGCATATTTACATCAATGTATGAGCCATCATCAAACTCAGGAACTTCATAAGGAAGTATTTTTTTTTAAAACTAAATCATTTTTTGAACTGATTAACTTAACACAAAACCGTTCAGCAATTTGTAGCCTTCTTAGTAAAAGTGGAGGAATACAAGTTTCTACTTCCATTACATGGATTGGTGTAGAGCACATAGCCCCAGTTATTATACGCAACGCTTTATTCTGAATTATATCTAATCTCTTTAAAATCAATCTGTTTGCATTTAAGTCTGCTAATGTGCTGTAATCAAAATGACTTCGAACTATACTTTTATTGATTACAACTTTGGGTCAGCTCCCCAATGCACACCTGCTAATGATTTTAACACATTGAGACCCCTACAGGCATTTTTACACAGATTATTTACATGTTCTTGGAAAGTTAGCTTCTGATCAAGCAATATACCTAAAAAAATTTTTTTCTGTAACCAAGGCAATGGTATGTTATTATATTTTACAAAATTATCACATGTATAATATTTTTTGGAAAAAATGAGAGCTCCACTATTACTAGGACTAATGTTTAATTTCAACTTATTTGAATAAAAATCATGAAGTTGCTCTAATGCTAAATTTTAATTTTTTACCGCTATATTTACATCTTTATTTACAGTATATACAAGGAGATCATCAGCAAATTGCAAAAAGCTTATGTTTCTATTTCTAATATATTTACTTATTAAACATGTATATACAGGGTAATTTTTAATTTACTGAAGACCTTTTGGGAATATATTATTTACATCATAACAACAACATCTGTAAGAAAAGAAATTATATTTCTTCAATTTTTATTTTCATACAAAAATAAAAATATTTTAATTAGACCTTCTAAACGGCAATAGTCCTAAATAGCTAAATAAAGCGCGTGGCGGGGTAGGGGTGGAGGGGTGTAGGAGCCGGCGCTTGCTCATTTGAACTTGACCTAATTATCTGTGTCGTCAGTAGGTCAGTCGCCTTTTGTGCGCCCGCGACTTTTCTCCTTCCGTTGTGAGATTAATATCGCGAACGTTACGCGTTGTTACAATTTAATTTGTTTTAATGTTCAAGTACCAAAATTCGTCATTCCAGCTATACTGGTTCATTATTATCAACATATGCTTTAATATAAAGCAATAAAATAATCACACAACAATAGATTAACATTACAGCTGTAATTGCTAAGTCTCAAGTGGAATCCTGCCATCCTATTTGAAATGAACTATACAATGGCATACCGATACTCAAATATTGAGTAGACCGAAATGGTGCGAATTTTAGCAATTTGCAATGATAACGTTAGTGAAGCCTGCCGTGAATATTCAAGGCGATTTCCCAACTCACGTGCACCGAGCTACGCTACGATGCTAGGTACTACACAGCGATTGCGAGATTACGGGCAATTCCAGCCTGTATCAATCGATCGTGGTCGTCCACCGTGGCGCACAGTACGTGAGCAAGAAGACATACTGCAGTTTTTTGAACAAAATCCAGCAGCGAGCACTTATGAGGCAGCTCGACAGTTCAATGTGTCACAGTACTACGCATGGAGTGTCACACACAATGAAGGGAAGTACCCTTTCCACTTGCATCGTGTTCATGAACTCAGCGAAGCTGCCAAACCAGCGCGAGTTACATTTTGTAACTGGTTACTAGCTGCTGAACGAGCCAACATTTTATGGACTGATGAAGCAACATTTGGCAGAATAGGACTATTTAATTCGCACAATGAACACTTGTGGTGCTATGAAAATCCACATGAACCAAGTACCTAGGTAAGTCTAATTTTTAAATTTGTATTTTAATATTTTTAATGAACCATTATACCATAATATCTTTATTCAATTACCGTTAATTTGTATTTAATCATTATAAATATTTTATTGTAATATTTGTAATTATTTTAACCTGCTTCCATTTTTTAAATACAACTTACATTAAATAAAAAAATAGTTAATAATACTCATTTAATTTGCACGTGCTGCAAACATCGATCACCAAATCGATGCCTGCAAACCGAAAAGGGCAGGCGGCGCCTTTGAGGACGGTGACACCTGTGTCGACGTTATAATATATCGTAGGCTTGGCCTTGGGCCGCCGTATGTGCGACGTTGAGGCGTTGCCTCTTGGATGCAGGCAGAGTTGCTAGCAAACAGTATTCGTAAAAAAACTACCTAAATGTCTATTAATTCTTAAAGAAATTAATAAAAGAATCAAATAGTTCATCAAATGGTTTTATGCAAAATGAAGAAGTATATGAAAAGTTAATGTAAAGTCATTTAAAGTAGCACCCTGGTGCAATAGGCACAGTGATGAATGGTTTAGTAGGCTCTCGCAACTAGGGTTACCATATCTCAGGATTTGTCCTGAGATTTCAGGATTTTTAGACTTCTCAGAATTGCGGCTGGATTTTGCAAATCTCATGAAATCTCA